GGGAGACCTGACTTAAAGTAGGCCAACCAGATCTCTTATTTGTAATTGAGAGACAGAGCTGCCCAGTAACAATTTGGCAGTGAAATTTTTTTCTCTTTTTGTAAGAGAAAAAAGACCATTGTCAGAAGTTAGGGAAGTCAAAGCCCTGTGCAAAGTCATATGCAAACAGAAGCCACCGGTCCCTGCTTCAGAGAGAGAAACAAAGAAGAGTGGCCACGTATCTAGAGAGGAAGAAACTTGCAGAACTGCTTCAGAAAGTGACAAGAATGATGGGAAAGATGTGCTTAAAGTGAAGGGGAAGATTCTGAGGGGGATTAATGGCAATGTGTCTTTTACTTTAATAAAATTTTTTAAATTTAAAAATTCATACATTTAGATCTCACTTCATACTTGGATTTGAAGAACTGTATCAACTAACCACAGAAGGTCTTCTTTAATTAACCTGAGTAATTTGTTACTTCTCAATAAATAAAATTTTGCCTAAATAAGACAATTAGTAAACAAGTTTGAAATTTTTTTAAAAACAGGGCTAACTATCAGAAAACATAAAATCACTGTGATTTTTACCAGGACAGTGAACTATATCAGGACAGAAGTCACATTTTCTTTGACTCTCCCAGCACAAACATTGTGCGTATGTCTTTTTTCTTTTAATTGAATTAAATTAACTTTAATTACTTACACTGTGCTGGCCTTTTATCTTAGACATGACACAAACAGAATTGTTTGAAAATCTGTATTAATAGATCTCATATTATCAGAAGATAATAGTGCTTGTTAAATGGAAAAAAATCAGCACAATGGTGTCTGCTAGAAGGCATAACACAAAAACAAGTTTTAAATTAGACTACATAGGGCCAGGGATTTAGCTCAGTGGTTCTGTCGCCTCCCTCGCAAGTGCAGGGACCTGAGTTCAATCCCTGGTACCAAAAATAAATAAATAAATATAAATAAATAAATAAATAAGACTACATATACACATCAAAAAATTGTTAAGAGTAAGCTATACCTTACACAACCACTAGTTTCTCTATTCAAGAAAACTTTCTTGCTCCGCTTGCTTTCCTGAAAAGTCAACATTAACAGAAACAAAAACCCACCTCCACTAATGACAGGTGCTAAAAGGTTTTGATCACTTAAATCTTCTAACATCCAAGCTGGAAGGCTTCTTTTCCTCTGGCCAGGATCTGACTGCTGTTTACTCAAGCCTCCGCATTCACCTAGGAAGGGCTAAAAAGGCACATATAAATAAATTAATTCCTAAGGATAACTGTGCTTCCTTAATGAATTTGTAAAATTATTTATTGTGCAGAAAATTATCACTAAAATATCCATCTGCAACTATGGGTTGAATCAGTTATATCTCTTACAGAAATGTATTTATATTAGTTGAAGTGTTGGCCCACTGTGATCTTCTCTACAGCTTAACTTAAAAACAGCAAAAGCAGATCAATCCTAGAAATGTTGTTTGATGTGCCTAATTTTAGTTGTCTTTTCTCTCTTCAAAATAACTTGAAGAGCCAGAAATGGTAGCACACGCCTGTAATCACACCATTCAGGAGGCAGAGGCAGGAGGATTCGCCACAAGCTCAAGGCCAGCCTGGACTTAGTGAGACCCTGTCTAAAAAAAAAAAAACTTGAAGAATATGTTACAAGTAGATGAAATCTTACATTTCTCACCACACTACTTGTGCTAGTAGTCTGAGTCTCAGTTATTTCTGTAGTTCTTTCCAGATGTGAGGTACGAGCTGTCTTATCAGGTAAGTTAATCACAGGAGATTTGGGCACTTCATTCAATATGTCATCTTCATCAAGCATTTGACTGTTTCTATAAAATAAAATAAAAGTTTTTTATCATTTACATCACTTCTGCTGGCAACCTCATTATTGTAAATGTCATTCTGAGTATATCTGACTGGGGAACTGGGCTCCTTTTCTCAAACTTAGCAAAAATTTAAAATCAGATGATAGTACAGAACAATAAAATATAGCTATTTGCTATTTGCTTAAATAAAAATCTATTTGCTTAAATAAAGAGCTATTTGCTTATTTACCTAGATCACAACTCCATATCTAAAGAAAAAGTGTAAATGTCAGAGCATCAGCTAAGCTAGTTGGGCCCTTGGAAAAAACAAATTAAAATCCTAATACATAGCTGCTATCAGAGTTCTGATCAGTACTGCCACTTGTGAAATTTCAAATGCAGTTCAACTAGAGGCAAAATGTTCTGGCACAAGAGCATCCATGGTTACATGTGGAACATATTCTCATAACAAATTATCTCATACTCTCAGAAAAGTGCAATAGGATCATCCAGAGATGTCAGGTCATCATAAATAGGCATATTGTATACTTCAGTTTAAATGATATCCTAAAAAAGGTAAGCTACAAGGACAGAACTCAGACAGTAACCACCAGGGGATTGGGGGTGAAGGCACTATGAAGAGTAAGGGAACTTTTATAGGGAATGGAAATGTTCTATATCTCATTGTGCTGGCACTTAATATGACTATATTGTTTGTCAAAGGTCACTGATTGTACATTTAAAAAGGGTCAGTTCTATGTATAAACTGTTCCTTAATGTGAATTTTTAAGGCATTGAGGATGTAAGATTTTAGAGATGTGTCTAAGTGAGAGGTTCTGGCACCCTACCCCATCAGGGCAGGAGCCTAACCAGAGAGGAGCTGCATGGGCATGTGGGCTCCCGCCAGAGGCCTGCCATTCCAACCCTAAGTGCAGGCAGATCCAGGAAGCAGCTGTGTGGCCCAGACCAGCACGACTGCAGGCAGATCCCAGCTGGGATTCCACCCCAACCCAAGAGGCTCAGGCACACCAGCCCAAGCCAAAGGCCCGCCCAGAAAGGGGCTGCACGGGGACACAGGCTTCAGCCAGAGGCTGGCCATGCCATTGGCCACAGCCAGGGACCTACCTGGAAAAGAGCTGTACAGGCACACAGCAATACCCAGAGGCTCGCCCCAATACAATTGATAAGTGTGAGGAGACCCTAGCCAAAGCCTGTGCAGACAACAGAAACTGGAGTGCACAGTCCCCAACCAAAGGCCCTCCCAGACAATAGCTACATAGGGGCCCCAGAGAGAGGCATGCCTAGATACCACCCCAAGTGTGCTCAGGCCCCAGGCAGAAGCCCACCCAGACAACAGGTCAGGTCAAGGAACTAGAATGCTACCACTCTGAACCCAGGAATTGCTGTAATGGTGAGCAGCAGAGTAAAGGCTGCTCCGTGGCTTGCTGAGAATTCAAGACCACTGGGTGAGCAAAAAGTCACCTCAACAAAGACACAGCAGGCAGCATCTGTTGAAATGAGAAGACACGTAAATAAGTCCCAAAACCAGACTTCCAGATCACCTAAGGGAACCCCAAAGAGCAACAAGATGGAACAATCTGATACTCAACCACCTGGACTCTCTGAACTGGCAACAAAAGGGGAACTGGAAAAAATGAAATCAGAAATACTTTCTCACATAACAGCAGAGATTGTGCCCACAGTGCAAGACATGATTAATAAATCTAGAGTGGACACAGATAAAAAATAGAGGAGCTGAGGAATATGATGGAATCCCAACATAGGAAACAAATGGAATCCATAAAACAAATGCAAACAGATTTCCAGGAGATTAAAAACTCCACTAAAAGTTTTTGAAGCAGAATGACACAGTGTGAGGATAGAATTTCAGATATAGAAGATAGGATTACAATTAGTGACCAGGAAAAGAAAAATTTCTTTAAAACAGTAAGGGACCACAAGAAATCAATACAGCAGCTGCTAGACGATGCAAAGAAAAACAACACCAGAGTGATTGGAGTCAAGGAAGAAACAGGAGAGAGTGCAGATGACAAAAAAAAAACCTCTTCACAGAAGTAATGGCAGATAACTTCCCAAATAGGGGAAAAGAACTTGACATAGAGATAAGTGAGGCATACAGGACTCCAGCTAGCCTTGATCAAAAAAAATCTACACATAGGCATATAATAGTTAAGATTCCAGAAACCCAACAGAAGAACAAAATTCTACAAGCAGTTAGAGAAAAGAAACAAATGAAATACAATGGAAAGCCTATCAGAATCACAACAGACTTCTCAACACATACCCACAAGGCAAGAAGAGCATGGAGTGACATATTTCAAGCCCTAAAGGAAAACAACTGCCAACCAAGATTGATGTGCCCAGCAAAACTATCTTTCAAAATGGATGGAGAAATAAGGTACTTTCAAGACAAAGAGCACCTTAGGAACTTTACAAATACTAAACCAGCATTCCAAAAAATTTTATAAAATATCCTAGGAAAGCATAACCAGGATGACAACCCCATGAAGCCCAACAGAATGAATGCATCAGGCACAACAAGAAATTAAACACAAAGGGGGAGAATCCAACAAAAAGAAAGTCATGGCAAGGATAAGTCAATACATATCAAATACGACCATTAATGTTAATGGTCTCAATTCACCAATCAAAGAAATAGACTGCCAGAATGGATCAAGAAGCAAGATCCAACAATATGCTGCATACAAGAAACACACTTAATTCAAAAAGAAACTCATAAACTGAAAGCTAAAGGGTGGAAAGCAATACTCCATGTGACAGAAACCTGAAAAAAAGCAGGAGTAGCTATCCTCTTTGTAGATCAAGGAGATTTCAAACCAACACTGATTAAGAGAGATAAAGAAGGACACTACATCCTTGTAAAGGCAACAATCCAACAGGAAGAGATGACAATCATAAATATCTATGCACCAAACACTAGTGCATCCAACTATATAAAACAAATACTAATGGACATGAAAAGTCATATAAGCACTAATGCAATAGTAGTGGGGGATCTTAATACCATACTCTCACAAATAGGTGAATCAACTAGATAACAAAATATTAGAACTCAATCAAACTCTTGAACAAATGAACTTAACAGATGTTTACAGTGTTCCACCCCACAAAATCAGAATACACATTCTTTTCAGCTGCACATGGGTCGTTCTCCAACATAGACCACACACTCGCTCATTGAACATGTTTAAGTAAGTGCAAAGGAACAGAAGTTATCCCCTGTATATTGTGAGACCACAGTGTGATGAAATAGGAGACCAATAGCAAAAGAAACTGCAAGAATTTCATAAACGCGTGGAATGCAAAACACACTTCTGAATAACCAATGGGTCACAGAGGAAACTAAAGAAGAAATAAGACAGTTCCTACAACTAAATGATAGTGCCAATACAACATATCAGAATCTATGGGACACAATGAAAGCAGCCTTACAAGGGAAATTCATAGCAGTGCATGCTCACATTAGGTAAACAAAGCAAGCTCAATTTTACAACCTGATGCTGAACCTCAAGCTTCTAAAAAACAGAAGAGCAGGACAAACCCAAAGCCCATAGAAGGGAGGAAATTATAAAGATCAGGGCAGAAATCAATGCAATGGAGACTAAGAGAATGACACAAAAAAAATCAATGAAGCCAAGAGTTGGTTTTCTGAAAGAATAAACAAAATTGACAACACCTTAGCCAAACTTGTCAAAAAAAAGGAAAGGAAAGGCCCAAATCCATGCAATTAGGAATGAAAAGGGTGAAATCAAAATGCACCCAGCAGAAATCCAGAGGATCATCAATACCTACTTTGAGAACCTATATGCCAATGGAAAATACAGAAGAAATAGACAGATTCTGAGATACGTGTGAATTACCAAGGTTTGAATGAAGAAGACCTAAAATTTCTAAACAATCCAGTATCAATCAATGAAATTGAAAATGTAATTAGAAACTTACCAATCAAGAAAAGCGCAGGTCCCGTTGGCTTCACCACTGAATTCTACAAGACATTTAGAGAAGAACTAATGCCACTACAATGAAATTGAAGGGAAGCAATACTCCTAAATTCATTGCTGGAAGCAAGCATCACCTTGATCCCCAAAGCAGAGAAAGACCCAACTGAAAAAGAGAACTATAGGCCAAACTCACTAATGAACAGAGATGCAAAAATCCTTAATAAGATACTGGGAAATAGAATGCAGAAAATCATCAAGAAGATCATACACCCTGACCAAGTGGGATTCATCCCAGGGATGCAGGGATTGTTCAACATACACAAATCAATGTAATACACTATATCAATAGAGCCAAGGACAAAAACCATATGATCATCTCAATAGATGCAGAAAAAGCATTAGACAAAATCCAACATGCATTTATGATAAAAACCCTACAAAAATCAGAATAGATGGTCTCTACCTCAATCTAATAAAAGCCATCTATGATAAACCAACAGCCAATATCATACATACTAAATGGTCAAAAACTGAAATCCTTCACACTAAAATCAGGAACAAGACAAGGATCTCCACTATCATCACTCCTGTTCAATATAGTTTTAGAAACATTAGCCACAGCAATTAGACAAGGAAAAAAATAAAAGGAATAAAGACAGGAAATGAAGAAGTCAAACTGTCATTATTTGCAGATGATATGATACTCTATATTAAAGACCCCAAGAACTCCACCAAAAGTCTTCTAGACTTAATAACCAAATTCAGTAAAGTAGCTGGATACAAGGTCAACACACAACAGTCAATAGCTTTCCTCTACATGAACAACAGACTCACTAAGAGAGAAATCGGGCAAACAATTCCTTTCACAATAGCATCCAAAAAATTGAAATACCTAGGAATCAACCTAACAAAAGAAATCAAAGACCTCTACTCTTAAAACTATAGCACTCTTAAAAAAGAGATTGAAGATGCTATCAGAAAACTGAAAGATATCCCTTACTCCTGGGTAGAAAGAATCAATATAGTGAAAATGGTAATACT